TCTGATAGCTTTTCAGTGACCAAGGAGGGAATAAAATGGATGTTTACAGTTCCTAGGAACAGGGCCACATCACCATTGGCTCTCTTACTTTCAGTCCCTGCACAAAGGCCAAGAAGGGAATGGACCAGGAGACTCAACTAACCTCTCCCTCAGACACCGGTCTCTCCTGATGATGGTTGTGGCCCATTGGCACCCCAATCAAAGGGCACCTGATACTGGTTTCATAATGTAATTCTGATGGAACAGTATATCAATGCAAACCACTTAACGCTGACTCAGCCTTGTGTGGACCCGCCACACGGTGTGAATTTCCCCTTATAGGGGAACTAGTGGGAGTTGTTTTCTTTTTGCTGCAGATGCCAGATGCTTGGTGTGGGGTGGGATTTTTTGGGATGGTTGTTGCTATTAGAACACTATTGGATCAACAGCATTAGCTAAAAGTTAAGCACAAAACATATAGGCTGGGTGTTTCATCTGCTCCCTAAGTGACCAGGGACTGCAGCAGTCTTGTTAGGGCGGTGTTACTCCTTCCAGCTGCAGGAATGGCAAGCGCTCTGGCTGTGCATGTTGTTCTCTTTTTATTTCTGTTTTGTTAATCAAGTGCTTCTTGGAAACAGCCTGCATCGGAGCCAGTTGCAATCCCGGGAGGATGGTCAATCTCTTACTTCTAGCCAGCCGTGCAATGCCCTCTGGTGCACATGCACAGCAGCAGACTACACAGCGCGTATTGAACAGAACTGAAACAAACTAACAGGAAGAAAAATAAAACGATCATGTTTAGCAATTTACTTCTACACTACTGATGTTTATGTGCTACATTACTAAGGCTAAATAGTTGTGACGAGGAGCTTTGCTTAAGCAGGAGTTACAAATCAACTGTCAGGGTCAAATCCAAGCCATGATTCTTCCTTACTTCACCTCCTGATTGAAAAAAATGCTGGCCAGTGAAGGCTACCTGAAACCAGGTTCTACCCTGGATGTTTTGTTCATTATTGGATCCAAGAGATATGAGTGACCATTAATCTTAACACATTGAGTGCTCTTCAGGGAAGGGACTGTGGACACAATGCAGTGTGTATCTTGAATTAGGCCCCATGTTTTTATTTGTTGTATGAAGCTACTAATACACTTTGGGTACTATGAGCATGATAGAGAATAGAATGCCATAGGGGACAGATGCATGCTAATTTCATACCCATTGTGAAGTCCGGGTACTATCAAGTAATTAAGCATGATCCATTGTTTGGACTGGAAATAATGTAGCTAAAGGGCCAGGCAACAGTAAAATGCTTAAACAGCGTCCCAGAATAACAGTACTATTCAGACTTGTTGCTACTATATGTAGAACTGACTTTTTAATGAGGTATATCTTAATCTGATAGAAATCAAATTTCTGATTGCAAAATGGTTTACACTTTGCTTCAAATTAACCAGATTGCATTTGATAGAGGAACCAAAGGATTTGTTTGACTAAGCCCGAAGCATGTCCTCACAACCAAGCTTTTCTGAAACGTCTCCCTTTCCCATTTCTCCTGAGTGATTCTTCTCCACCTTGCTAAATCCAACCTGCTTTCTAGTGTCCTGCGTCAGCACCTGTCGACTCTTCTTTTGTCTTCTTGCTTCCTGTTCCCCTCTTGTCACAGCTCACTCTGCAACATGCCTATGCCCTTTGCTGATATTCAAGCTCCATGACAACCTGAGGCTGTATTTCCTCAAATCAAAACAATTCAGCATAAATCCAACTGATCAGACAGTCCTCTCCCCAGACCTGGAGGCACCTACCTGCTCCCTACAAGTATCACTGTCTAGTGAGCTGTTTCTTTGCCTTTTATCTAAGGCCCAGGTGGCCTGCAGACTGTCACTTGAGTCCCAGCCTCAGACCCAACTTCTGGAAGGCAGCTAATTAGTCACAGGTGGGTCTAAGTCCTCCTCCGTTAAAGGGCCAACCCATTTTGTGACACAGTGATTCAGGCATGCATAGCATTGGCAACAGTTGTGTGGATTCTGCGTTATCTGTCGCAGTTGTCTGCATTTCAGAATCTTTGTAAACTGGGGCTGGGGTTCCTTTCTCTCCTGTCTAGTTTGTATGGAGCCTTGTATATGTTATCTCTGCCTTCATGCTGGAATGGTTGTGTGAATACCAATAGACGTAATCAGACCCATCACTTGGGAGACAGCTAATTAGTCACAGATGGGGGCTAAGCTCAACTCCCTTAAAGGGCCACCCAACACTGGAAAAAAGTCCGCCCACGCAGTTTACAGAACCTAAAAAAGTAGCTTCATTTTAAAATGCACCGAACACCACAACACTTAGTGAAATTGATGCAGCACCAGTGAAAAATGGCTGCCTTTTGGGGTTTTTTAAAATATGTCTGACTTCAGGCACCCAAGTTTGAAAGTGTTGCCTGAAAGCACTGCCACGTATCCTACAAAAGGAAAAATTCAGCAGTGAGAACACTGAATGCTGCTTCTTTCAACTGAAGTCAATCAGTCAGTCTCTCCATTCCATTCACTTTCATGATATTAGAGTTCAAAAAAAGGAGACGTATAAGACTGAGGAAATTTATTTATTTTTTGTCTATGAACAGTATGACATATAATTATAGACAAGGTTTGATACACAGGAAAACCCTTTTGTCAACTTTTTTTTTTTTTTGCTAAATGAAAGAGCACAATAATCTTTACACATTCATATTGTTGTTTTCTTTACAATACACAGCTTTCTCAGGTTGAAGCAAACTGTAAGGACATATTGGGTACTGGTATATTACAGCTACTTACATCATTTAAGAACAGCAAATGGAGAAAAATAAGTTATTTAAATACTGATTTCATATACAGAAAGTGCAACATTGTTAGTTGTTACATAACTTGCTTGACAGTTTTGTTTCCCCAGAGGGTGTCAATTAAGGATGACAGTATCTTGGACCAAAAGTATTATTTATTCTAAAAATAATACAGTACAACTGTACAGCCGTGACTTGGTGAATTGACCTCTATTGCTGCTCTTAGGGAGAATGACCTGGCTGAATAATATAATACTTAATGCCTTTGATCACATTCCCATGCTCCCAGTCTCATCCAAGAGCACAGGGCCAGGGACATGGAGTATATCCTAGCTACTCAGATGGTAATACATGGGCATTAATAGGCGCTTACAATTGTAATGTTGCTTGTTAATATTTTGGGAATGCTTCTTCCCTTACTAAATAGCTTTTCAAGTTAGAATTGCACACAGTGGACACAGAGCAGTACTTGTCTGAGCAGAGCAGATTAGGATTTCATCAGCAGGCTTCTTTTGTGCTTAGCCAATGAGCTAACTTTTGCTTGGAGTGTTGCACTTCAAAAGGAAATTGTAAAGAATAGGATGTTGTTGTTACACCAGGCAATCCCCCACCTGTCCATTGGACTGCACTGAAACCAGCAGGAGAAGCTCACACTGAGCAGCGTAAGGCTTTTCTAAGATCAAAATATATGCTAAAAATATAACTCAAAAGAAGACTGAATGGCAGACTTTAAAAACCAGATCAAAGAGCAATATTAACAACAAAAATCTCAAGGAATCCAAGTCAGAATGGCCTCCTCATGGCAAAGTCATGATAGGGGTGTTTTGATTTCTCCAGGCTATTAAATCATTCAAAAGGCATAGGAATTACAATGAGTGTTTGGGACATGGAGAGCTTCAGAAATCCAGATTGTTTCCTTCTCTGCTGTGACCCTCCCTCTGTTATTAATCAGGTTGGGGGAAAAATGAACGGGAGGGATTTTTTAAATTATATGACTTCCTTTTTCCGTGATGAGTGGAAGTTGTTTTCCTTTTGTATCAGACGATGCTTCATACTCAAACTCTGCATAGTAAGCAGTCCCTTACCCTTCTGAACTGCTAATGGGTATTCTGCAGACTGCTTACTTTTAATCAATGGTGACCCCAGCTATCAGTGGATGTCTCAGCACTCCTTCCAGCTACTGCTTTCTATAGGCTTCCCTTTAAGCCTTAGAGCGGGATGACAGACAAATCATTGCTATAACAACCAAGGCCCATACTATAAACACTTTGTTCTTTTGTAAGAGTTTAGCCACCTGTGCAAAACATTCAGTTATGTCACACATTCCCTGATGCTGTCACACTAGAGCTTACTAGTTCTCCAGTTCCCCAGAGAAAAGCACTAATAAGGTTTTAGACAAAATCCAGAGGAGCTCTAGATCCAGAACAATTTCAGATGATATGAGGAAGTGAATTAGTTATGCTATACACATTGGGGTCTTTAATTCTGATGGCAGAATTTAGGGCAGAGGTGATAAAAATAACAGAGGCTGGTGACAACTGCAATTAGGTAAATAAAACTGACACCTAATATTACACTCAGAGCTAGAGTATCACCATAGGTAAAATTTACAGCGTACCTGACTTAGGGTAGGCAATAATAATAGTGCACTCTCAGCACTTCATTCATCAATCTGAATGCACTTTATCAGGATGAGTAAGCATCATTATCCTCATTTTATGAGTGGAATAATTGAGTTGCAGAGAGGGGAAGTGACTTGCCTGAATTCACCTGGCAAGCTAGTGGCAGGGCTGGTAATAGAAACAGATTTCTAGGCCTGTGCTCAGATCACTAGACTACATCTTTCAATTCACCTGCCAAAGGAAAGCCTACTCTGTCTACAATGAAGAGTTTCCACTACTGTAAGTTAAAGAAAAATACATAGGATATAGACACCAAAGAAAAAATCTAGTTAATGCTATTCATGGTGATCTGTATTTGGTATATAAAATGAGTGCCCATGTACAAAAATAAAATCTGTTAGTATCCACAGCGGAGATTTTACAGTGGGTTAGACAGAAAATAGGATCATTATTTTATGGACAAAAAATGATTTGTCCAGCATTTCAGAACAACACTTTCTTCTGAAGAGAAGATATTTCAAACACTCGATACTGGGGGACATCAAGTTTTGTAAAATTACAGCATAATTCATAAGACTCTGAGTTTCCCCCCCCCCCCCAGGCAGTGAAATTACTGCTCTGATACTTTCTATGGGACACAGTTTACTTCTTCGGTGCATTTTATTTCCCCAGGGCAACCTTTCATTTGAAGAAACCAATGTTTTGAATTGATATGGTCAGGATACCAAGTCAAAGCTGCAGTATAATGATTGACAGTATAACACAGTACATAAAAATATGATTAAAATGAAAAGCAGTTACATATATACAAGGCAAGATAACTTTGAACATTTTAATAACAGCAGCAAATGCAGACCGCTGCGAACAGTTAGCCTGACAATGGAAATTCTGCATTTGCAAAAGCACCTCTACAAACAAGATGTTACGAGACAATCTATAGAAGTTACTTTAACTGAAAATCACCCTAAGTGCCATGGAACGACGACAGGATGAAGCAAGGTTGGATACAGATAAGTGAACACTAGATAACTGCTGACAAGCTGATTTTAAGGCAAATAAAAAAGCTGGTTGCGAGAAAGCAGTTACAACAATGACCCCAATTCTATACACAAAAGAAGTTTTGGACTCTGTTAGGTTAGTTGTACTGGAACAACCAAAATGGTCAATATTGTAAACTAATTCCAATCCATTATTCTGGCCTAGCTAAAGGGTCTATGGTCTACAGGAACTATACCAAGCAACAGAGAGGATGACAAAAAAGGGTATGTATTTAGCATTTGATTGCTAAAACAAACAAAACAAGCAAATAAAAAACCCAAGATTTGCTAAACAGCTTTTGCCAGTGAGCTGCACCTTGGCTTGTACGTGGCTTTCAGGGCTGACTCTAGGTAACTGGGACCAAGCTTTACAGAGGGCCTTCTATTCATAGAGACCTTGCAACAGAAACACGGCTGACAGCAGGTGTAGCTGTCACAAACTTGTGGAGAGTGTGCAAGGGTCCCTTTAGCTCAATGGTCACATGGGGTGCTGTCTAACCACAGGCTAGCCCTGTGCACTTTCAGAACTAAAAATACGTTATTGTTGAGGACTAAGGAAGTACCACACTTCTGTTACCTGGCGGTTGCTTCTTTTCTCCTTTAGTTGCTAAAGACAGAAAAAAGGAAGATCCTCTGAGGAGTTTATTTGCCTATCCTGGGATCCACTTGCTTGATCCCATTTGCTGTGTGGAGAAATTAGGGCAAAACTGGTGCGGTAAGAAGCAGCGGGGGTCTCAGGAGGTGCCACATTCCAGAGCATGTTAAATCGCCTCTGGATTGAGGGGTTTGAAGAGTCTTGCTGCTGCCAGGAGCTTGCTTATGTGCCTCTCCTCTGTGATGCCAGCTTCTTGAAGGCAAGTTTGTGACAGAGAAGGCACTTTGCTCAGCGTGTTGAATCCTGCTTCTGTGAGTGAGCTAGAATACATAGGCAGGCCAACAGAAACCAGCCAGTCAGTTATAGATGTGATATGTCCTGGGGATACAGGTTTTCGGCAGATTTCAGTGAGCCCTCCGCTTGGAATCTGGATAGAGAAAGAGAAAAAAAATGTAACCTTTTGACTGTTTAGTTTTCTTTCAATCTTCGTCTGCACCCCCCAGGTGGTAAGAATTTGATAGTTTTAGAAAAAGGATGTTTCAGATCTTAATAGCTATTTCTCCTGTGTGTGTGTTAGGCAATGAGAAAGTCATTTGCTGACCACCCATTCTACTCTTTTTAACTGGTTCCCAATATGCTGTTAGTAGCTGGTCGTAGAAATATAGGGCTGGAAGAGACCTTGAGAAGTCTGTCCCCTCAATCTGAGGTAAGACCAAGTATATCTAGACCATTTCTGACATGTTTGTTTAATCTGTTCTTAAGAACCTCCAGTGACAGGGATTCCAGAACCTCCCTTGGAAGCCTGTTCCAGAACTTAACTATGCCTATAGTTAAGAAAGTTTTCCTTTCTAAACTAAATCTCCCTTGCTGCAGATTAAACCCATTACTTCTTGTCCTACCTTCAGCAGGTATGGGGAACACTGATCCCCTTTCTTTTTATAACAGCCCTTAACATATTTGAAGACTTAACAAGTCCTCGCTTAGTCTTTTCTCAAGACTAAACCTGCCCAGTATTTTTTTTTAACCTTTCCTCTTACGTCAGGTTTTCTAAACCTTTTATTATATTTGTTGCTCTCATCAGAGATGCCCAAGACGGAATGGGCAGGGCGACGCAACTCCATTCTCAATAGTAGAAGTGGTTCCCCTCCAGCACAGAGGGAGGGAGGGGTAAGGGGGTGGTATGCTCTGCTGCTACCTGTGCTGCGTCTCTACGACCATAGACAGGATTTCAGTCTCCCGGGTGATGAATCCAGTACCTTCACCATCATTCAATTAACTATGTATTTATAAGCAAAGAACGTGGTAGACAGAGACACTCACTGCCATGCGGTGCTGCTTCCTCAACTGCTTCACCCGGATTTGGTCCATGTTTGTAGCAACATCCTTTTCAGGCTGCTCTAGGTCTTCAGAGTATCTCTGCACCAAAGCTTCAGGAATCCCACAGCGACCATGCTGCAAATTGCCATCCAGGCACGCGGGAGGAAGGAAGAGGGAAAGAAAAAAAAACCCAGAAGCAATAAAAATCAACAAAAGGTTTCTCTACAAACATCAAACACAACATGACAAGGGGAGCTTTAGATTTCTCTGAGAGTTACAAAGAATGGGGTTTCATTTAGTGTTAACAATACCTACAGTGGGGCGTTTGGGACACTGGTCCACAAAGCCTTTACCATTATACATCCTCAAAGGGTGAAATTCTGGCTCTACTGAAGTTAAGAGCAAAAATCCCCTGGACTTCAAACAGGGCCACATTTTGTCTAAAGTCTCTCTCTGCCATCAAATAGTTCCACCAGTGAAATCTGCCTCTGACAAGTTGTAGGGCAGCACACATTTTGCCATTCAGAAATTTTACTAGATATTTTGTTATTCTTTGGCTTAGTCAGAAAACGACTATCATCACAGCTGGAGAAAATTGATCTGATCACTATGGATTTTCTGGTTCTTGACTTGTACAATTTGGAAGATGTCTGACAGATTTAGGGGTCCTCTGGAGATAATGGTCAGAGTTAGTGTTGCATTAGGAACATAGGAATTGTCAGACCAGTGGTTCATCTAGTCCAGTAACCTGTTTCCAACAATGAGTCAAATAGGCAATTCTGGGGTAGTCTATGCCAAGGATCATTTCTTCCTAACCCCCATTAGAAGTTGGCTTTTGCCCTTATGCAGAATATATTTTATACCCTCCCAAAACCTTTGGTGTTTTTTTGACCTCTTTACAATTATATTTCTATTCTTCACATAAACAGATTCATATGCACTTCCCTCCAGTTTGGGGACTGATATTCCAGTCAATAAGAGATCCCTCCTCATCCCTAGCCATTATGCCAGAGAAGTAGTAACTTCATATGGGCTTTCAGATGCATCACTGAATCATTTAAACAACAGGGCAGCAATAATACTTTCATAAATTACCTTTAATATCCAGTACAAATTACAGCAGCTCTGAGAATGGGGGGTGGGGAGGAGAAGATGGAGAGGAGGCAGGAAGTCATCTATGTCCCTCCCCATGAGTGCATTGGGTAGAAGGTGAGGCATACTTGAGGATATGGTCCTGTGTGTGGAATCTAGTTTACACTAAGCTAGATGTGGCTATTCAATATTAATATTATTTGTATTAAGGTAGCTTCTTGGAGCTGCAATCCTGGACCAGGCCCCATTGTGCTAGGTGTGATACAAACATAACAAAAAGATAGTCCCTGCTCCAATGAGTTTAGTCCTCGAGACGTTATCCATATCTCTGGTAGGATTCACATGTCTCATCAACTCTCTTCCCTGCCTGACACACAGTAAGGCAGAGTGCAAACACAGTCTGTGTAGGACAAACTCTGCTCCATTTCAGCCCCGCACTAGGCAAGAGTGGAGTGGGAAACACATCTTCCCTCCCAGCAGCCAGGAACATGTGGAGGGAATGGGAGATGAAACTGTCTTTTCATCATACCCTTTCATTGCATCAATTCATGCAGCTGCTGCACTACGATGACAAAGTGCTGTCACATATCAGTGGAGTATCAAAGCACTATCGCAAGATTAGGGTCTGTCCCTGCAACTGCCGCAGTTGGACGCACTTAGGGTGGCACATCGTTGCCTTACATCATTAAAAAACAAAGCATTTAATCGGATTGACTTTCACCATTTATTCTCTTTGTATCCTTGTTGCACTTCATCCAGCATGAACAAGGAACCTCAACTGATCAGTTTCCCCGCTCAAAATCAGCACTCATTTGAAGTGTGTGTATCCAGGTATTTCTCCCAAAACTTTTGTTCCCTTAAAGGGTACTTGCAAGGTTTTTGGTCAGAAAAAAGTGGACATCAAAGCAAGCTGACTAATAGCTAATGCCTGTTGCTGGTTATGTAATTAATGGTAAATCTGCAACACTGGGTGATTAAGCTGGCTCCACCCACTCCTCAAAGTGAGATGAGGTCCTGATTTTCAAAGGAGCTCAGTTCTCATTTAGGCACCTATTTACAGGTCAGATTTTCCCAAAGTGCTCAGCACCCAGCAGCTCCCACTGCTACGCGTATGGCTCCATTTTCAATAGCTCCGCACATTGGGTGCTGAACCCTTCTACAAATTCCAGCGAGGGTCTCTGAACCCACCTTAGTTCTGAGAAGCATCACTGGTGTGAGAAAGGAAGAACAAAATAAATGGGCAGACCTGTGCTGTCTTTCAAAGGAATGGCTATGGCGTAATCAGGGTCAGCCTGGATCCCAAACTCATGCCCAGATTCCCATTTCCAGGAGTTGCCTCCTTGTTAAGCCCTCTTGCTGAAGAGTAGAGAGGTATGTGGTTCTATTCTCTCTCAAACCATATAGTTGGAGAAGACAAACCCATGCTGGAAGTAGCAGTGCTTGCAGGAAATGCAGAGTTCAAAGTAGGGTGACCAGACGTCCCGATAAATCGGGACTGTCCCGATATTTAGGTGTTTGTCGGGACGCATCGGTTGGGACGCACTCTGGTGTTTTGGGTTTTTTTTTGCTCCGGTGACTCCTCTCCCCCATGTGTCCCGATATTTTCTTCCTCTCATCTGGTCACCCTAGTTCAAAGCAGCAAGGCCCCAAACAGCTATTTACTTTACTGGTATTGAAAGGCTGCCTTTGGGTGTGAGGCCTGATATACACAGAACGGACTGTCAGACTAACAACAGGGCGCCTGAAAGATATTTCCATCTTTTCCAATGATTTATAGAGGACAAATAATGCACCAGACACAATGAAAAGTGAGCTGTTATAAAGACCAGAGTTAAAATGTTGAGACATTAGCCCCTTCTCACCTTGTCTGAATATGGTTCCTCTGTGAGATCAATCTCTTCAGACTGCAACTTGTTTTCTATCAACATTTCCAGATCCAGTCCTCTAGCACAAGAGACTTTCCTGGCTAAAGCAGGGCCTAGCTTTACCACATGTTGCTGAATGCTAGCAGTCTCAGAAAGCTCAGCTAGCCAAGGGGGCAGTGTGCTTGGTGGGGTACTGGGCTGCTCAGAAGAGGGCCTACAGGCAGGTACTACACGGCAATCAATGGGACTGGATGGACTGGCCCTTTTTACTGGCAAACATGGTGCATCTGGACTTGAAAGGGCTCCACTTAGGGTCAGAGGGGGATGATATAGTCCATTAGAAAGGCGTTCTCGGCTTTTTTTGGCAGGGACTGGTGGTGGCTGTGAAGGATTTTTTGACTGAATTCTTGCCTCGCTCATGCCCTTTTGCTCAGCTTTCAGACCTTCCTTGAGGACTGGAGAGTTATCAGCCCGTTCAAGGTCATGACTGCTTTTATGATGATTTTCCAGAGGTGTCCTTGTTACGTTGTGTTTAACTGAAGTAGGCGGAGCCTCCCAGCGTTTAAGCAGGTACTGAGTAGGAGTCCCACATGAAGTCTCTGTTACTGAGCAGTCCAATTTCCTAGCTTTTCCCTTCTGAGAATCAGCAGTTCCTTTACTTTGCTTAGGTAGAGTCTCTTCTGCCCTCATGCCACCCACAGGAGCCTTAGGCTTCAGGATGGACCCAGTTGTCTTTTTTGCTACATCCAGTGCATCCTGAGGGAAAGAATCTACTTTCTTACTAGTGTTCGGTAGGTCAGTGCTGGATTCTCCTTGGAGGTCATCCAGTGAATGAGATCTTGGCCACTTGGCCACATTCTGGGTGCCATCCAGAGTCTCACAGCTCCGGCAGACAGCTGCTGGTAAACTTCTGCGGTTCTTCTTCAAACCTGTGATGCTTGAAGGCTTGATGCAGCTCTTGGGAGCATGATGAAAGCAACTCAACCGGATTTCCTTCTTTCCTTGCTGGAGAGCTTCTATTGATTTAGTCAAAGGCAGAGTTGGATAACTTGGCAGTTGGTTTCTGTTAAAGCAGTGCTCACTGGCTGACTTTGTGGGCAACAGACAGGTCCTCCGAGTCTTGCCTAAGAACAAAAGACATTACAAATCATTGGAGGAGAAATGTACAAAAGAAGCACTGCCAGGAACCTGCATCACCACTAAATGCCTTTGAAACACAAGGATTCTTCATTGGTAACTGAAGACATGTCTATGTCTTGCCCGTTTTTCTGGTCTCTCTGCCTATGCTGCACTTCAGTACAGTTCTGTCCAGACTCATTTGAGAGCTTCTAGTCTGACTTGTAAGAGCTGCTTAATATTCCTAAATAGTGAGATAAATTTAAGATAAATTCTAGTCTTTACCCAAATTTGCGAAGATGACATGGTCCGGCTGGCTTAATACAACTTTTCTTGGTGTAGCTATAGCTTATACATTATGGTAACAGATTTGACCCCTACAGAGAAATAACTTATAAAATCAGACAGTTTTTGCATGTTTGTGGCTACATTAGGGCAATAATTATTTGGTTTCTAATTATGCTTGAGAACTCACTCTTGAAGAATGGATTTTTATCCCTTAATGTTGTATTTCTTTTGAGATAATGTTTATTAACTAGAATTATGACAGACCTGCCATCCTATTATTTCACGGTTTAAATGTGCAGTGACCTATTTACAAAGGGAAACCATGAGGCTGTTTGAATTGTTCTGGGACTGCTATTGCACTAGCCTCTTTCCAGGGCTGTGTTTAGCAGTTGAAGAATTTTATCAGAGAAATGTGTCTTATATTATGAAAGGGAGAAGTGTTTCAAATGGACTAACCTTAGCATTAGTCTTAAATCGGAATGTCCTACTCGAGTGGAAAGACCAGGTGGTATACTAGTATTTTATGTTCACTGTTTGAGACCTGATCATTTTATAAGAGCATGTTTTGCATTTTCCATAACAGGCATGGCTCATGGATTGGTTGATGGAGATGACAAGAAGCTCTGTAGATCTTACTAAGAGATGCAGCCTCTTTTTTTAAAGTTGTTTTTTTAAAAATAAGGCTAGGAGCACAGTAAAATGTAGGGCAGTTAATGAATGATTGTTTGGATCATTTTAGATATCCTGAACTGGTGATTTTTACTACTTAGAAAAACAGAAAAGCCCACGTACATAATAGACTGTGTATATCTATCGCCCTATAAACATACATTCAATCTTTTGGGTGCTGTACGGACTTTCCAGAGGCTGGATCCAGAAGGCCATTAAAAACCTCCCATTATGAAAGCAAAATGTTCCACATTCAGCTCCAATCCAGAACCCAAAACCTTCCCACAAATTATCTTTCCAGCAGGTCCCCCATATCTGGGCTAGGATAGATGAAATTGGGTGGTCTTTCAAAAGGTTGAAGACCCAGTCATTGTGAACTCTAAGTCTCCTGTTTAAACAAGGTGTCTGAAGTGTATCAGCTGGTTGCCTCTATGGTAAAAATCATACAAAGGGGGAGTCAGGTCTCTAAGGTATTCAAAACCCATATCTATTTAAGTCTTTTCAGAATCAACATCTTGAGATCCAGGGTAAATCAAGACACACAGTAGTAATGGGAAATACTGCTTGGTTAGGAGGCTGCTGCATTCTGCACTTTCCAAATGGGTTTAAGATGTATCTTTATCTAGAGTTACCCTAGTCCAATTGGAAATGATCAAAGCATGCATAACAGTCATTTTTCCTGTTAAATGGTAAAAACTTGGAACTAAATCCTACAGTCCTTACAGCAAAACTGCCAATGGTGACAGTGTGAGTTTTGTCCAAGACAGGGTGACATTATCAGCCATTGGGTGAGCAAACGGGAAAACGCACACTACAAAAGAAACAAATATCAAAGCCACGATGAGCAAGACACCCAACTGGTATAAATTGGCATAGCAACATTGACTTAGTGGAGCGCTGCAAATTTACACCAACCAAGCCTCTGGCCCTATATCTTCAACCCTCATGGGTATTTTTTTAATTTATGTGTTAAACTAGTAAAAAATATGTGTTTCTTTTTTTCTCCAGATGGAACTTGGCAAATCAGCAACTTGGGGTCTTTTTTACTCTGCCCATTCACTATTTGTTATGGGGCAGCTCCCTTTTATGGGGAGTTAGGACTGTCTGCCCATAACTGCCTTGGGAAGGCTCCCCCTGGGGAGCAACTGATTCCCCCAAGTGGCTGATTAGTAAACAAGCACCTGGATCTAATAAAGGACACCCAACCTCAGTTAGAGGGGAGTTGCAAAAGGAGACAGGAAGCTCCTGTGGTGACAAGCTCCCAGGAGACACCTGAGCAGGGAGCCTAGAGGGCTAGCTCTTTGGGGAACCCACCAGAATGGGGAGCCCATCAGAGGTGATCCAAGAGAGGGGAGCCTCCTAGACAGAGAGCTGCAGTCAGCAGGCATCCCCTGGTCTCAATCAGACACTGTCTAGAAGCCCAGCCTGGCCAGGATCACCTGCTGTCCCCAGAGAAGAGTTGCAATGGACAGACGTCTCTGGACCCCTGACTCCAAAGAAGGATCTTACTCGGTAGGGGCAAAGAGCCTAACAGCAGGGGCAGAGCCTAGAACTGAGAGAACCCCTGGGGAGGAGCCAGAGTGGAAGTGAGCACTGGACTCAGGTGGAGGAACAGATGGACAAGGAATGACAGTCACCCAGCTGAGAGGTTGAGGTGAAAGTTTTGTTCATGGTCTGCATTAGCTTTTCTGTTAATAAGAGAGACCCTGCACTGGGGTGGGTGAGGGCAGGCTCTTTGGCATCTAACAGTCTCTATGGACTTGTTGCAACCCTGTGTGAAGGGGGAAAAAATCAAATAAGATCCCACCTTCAACACCACACCCACTTGTGAGGTGGTGCACCAGCTCAGCCTGGAATGAGGACACTATTAAAAAAAACAAAACTATTTAATCGACTAACCCAAATATCAAATAAGGATTTGTTCCCATCCTTGCTGTGTTTGGTCAGCTGTCCAGTCTCAAGGATAGCTACCTCATCATGTCCCAAGGATTGCTTGCTGGTTTAAAGTGTTTCTACTCCAAAAAATAATTCTGTGAGAATGACATTGTGGGCATCCTGGTTTATTGTTCCTGAGCGGCTTCCATATGAAAATTGCTCAGTTTACAGTTAAAAGTTGGATTTTTCAAACCTCCAGTCCTGCAGGCTCAGTCTTAGATCTGACTGTCAGGCGGGGTTCTTTCTCTCTCATACTTCATGGTCAGTAATATAAATTCCGCAGACCAAACTGTGCCCTCCAGTTACATTTGTGCAATACCATTCATTAGCCTTCACTGGGTGCCTGCATTAGCACAGGACACACTGAGGGCTCAATCCTGCAAAGTGTTGAGCACGCGGGCCCCAATCTGCAAAACACTTATGCAAATCCTTAATGTTAATTCCCCTGGATCTACTCACTTTCAGGATCGAGCCCTTGCACAGTGGAGTTGCACTGCTGGTGTGTGATTAGCAAAGAACCAAGCCTGACTTTCAGATCCCAGGAAGCAATATCAAGGATGACAGATTAACTTGCTATATTTGTGCAAGACACAAATTTGATTTGGGGTCACTGCCTTTATGCCCTTAATGCCTTTTTAGAGTGAATCTTCACACTGAACACCCACTTTCAACCTTGCCTATCTTTCAGTTATTTGCAAGGAGTCTTTTTAGGCCTGGATGTAGCTTTGTCAAGGGGCATAATGAAAGGCAACTAGACTGGTCATCGCATCTTGATTAGGCCAAACTCAATTGAAATAATATAAGCCAGAGGTTTTATGCAAAGTTTTTGCATATTTTTGTCAGAGTTGCACTGCACAACTAACAAGGGCAAAAATCAATCAAATTTTCTTGACTGAAAAGTGCAGGGACAGATCTTGATTTATTTTTCATGGATGAGAGATGCAAGGTCATTCTCAAATGATGCTTAGGCTTTTGATCAGAATGGTGAAGTCCCCTCAAAGCAGGTAGCAACCCAGAGTGACAGCACATACTGTATAGTTCCTTTCTGAGTGAGCAGGACACCTTAATATTTTTAAAAGCAGAACTGAATTTTCTAATGTCAGTGCAGGTGCAAAACCTGATGTTTGAAAGCTGTTTCTCAATCTAGAGAAAAACCAATTTCATCTAAATGGCACCAGAGTCAGTGGTATTAGCCAACTAATTGCTACCTAAAAGGAGGCTACATTCAGAGATTTTAGAATTGAGTTTCATTCAGATTTAAAGTGTACTACTTTTAAGCGATGGATGATTCCTTTCAATACAACTTGCATTCTGAGCATTCTGGAAGATACTAAGACTTCTGAATAATGCATAGCGATTGCTTTGGATCTGAATCCTAATACATTTCATGTGCCTGCTTAATGGCAGGACACCATGTCTCCAAAAATCCACAAGTGCAAAGAAACAATTCATTTAATCTAAGAGGAAAATTTGTTTCTTACACTCTCTCGCCTGCGCCTCATCAGGCAACTTACAAAACATGGCATTGTTTCAGGAAGTTGCAACATTTCAGTAGAAATGCAGGAAACCTCCCTCCAAAACGGGACTTATTTCAATGTTACCTCACAAGGGCTGCTCCATCTGTTTCTGAAAGTGTGTCAGAAAATGATGTACTCCTCATTCAGTGCCTGTACCTCCGTGGCAGCATGTTGGAATCTAGCCTTTCATCCAGGGGTGGGGAAAGGAATGTGCTTTTCTGTTTAGTTTTTTATCTGCCTGTATGTTTACAGCTCCGATTGTAATTCATTTTACTGTCTAGGCTTGCTGTGAAGTTTACACATCAAAACCCATACAACTTCTTTTGGTTCTGAAGTATTGTCTAGCCAGTGACTTGTTTTTACTACTACAACACAACCTGGTCCCTGCACCCTTGTTCCTTCCTTCAAAGAAAAATGGTACACAATTACTGCAGAAGTTAGTCCTTGCAGGTGCAGATGCGTTAAAGGGTATTTATTAACTTCACTTTGTTAGCAGTTAGGAAGAATACACTGGGGAGCATGACTGTGCAAAGAGAATGGAGAAGGGAAAGCAAGGGGCAGAATGGCAAGGAAAACAGAAGAGAAAGAACAAAAGTTTCAAATGTATGTAGCATCAGATTCTTAAGCTGTTCTGCACGGGCAGACCCTAGCATTCCTGCAGAACAACTTGCAGGAGACGGACCCAGTTGCTAACAGGAATAAAACCTGGTCTAGAGGGATTTTTGCCCATGAAGAAAATAACCCAACACAAAACTATTCGATGTATTAATTAATAAAATGGCACTTAGCTTCAAAATTGTTTTAAGAGATATCCCCAAATGGTGCACTTCTCTGAGAAAGGTACCATCAGAGTCATTACTTGGATGGAAGACAATGAGCTAGATTGTGATCTGTTACAATCGGGTAAATCAGGAGGAACTCCGATGGAGCTATTATATTCCTCCTAATTTACACCAGCTTTTCAGAATCTAGCCCAACATTTGCCAGTATTGTCGCATTTTTAAAGTTCAAAGTGAGTGTGTAGCCAGTGATTTCTAAATTGACCATTTTTAGGGTCAATATTGTTAGTATTAATTCATTCTTATGAGCCTTGTTGTTATTAAGCAGCCTGACACCTTTCATAACCCTTTTCAGTGCTATCGATTGGTAGCATCATCTCTGTACTGTTGGGCTAAATGTGTTCAGAAAGATTTAGGTATCTGGGAAAACTGCAGTGAGTGATACAGGTAGTCTTTAGATGTTGCCCTTGCTCCTACTGTTTGGTAGAGTCTGGAAGCTTTATGTATGTTTCCATTTTAGGGGACTAATCTGAGGCTGTAAACTCAGGCTATAGGACTACTTTACACAGGCCAATTCCCCTTCTAGATTGCGGTTCAGTATTTCCTGTTTGGGACAGCAGTGCCCAGGCTCCCTGTGCTACTTCCTGGAATTAGAACATAAATGAGTCTTTGACTCTATATCTTCTTCCTCAAAAAGAAGTACCCAGAAAGCTGTATGTACCAGGAAGAATGTCAGAGGGTAGACGTGCAATGGTATCTGGGGGGAAATTTTTTTTGGGGGGGGGGAGGCTACAGCAGCAGATTTTCAATCCTTCTCCAATCTTTATTTTGAGGAAAATCACCCTGCAGAGGCGAATACTCAAAACCACACAGAACAGGGTGAGTTAAGGATGGCCTGTCTGCCCTAACTCCAGATTTCATTAATTTTACTTTGGCTTTGTTTTCTGTGGTTACATTTCCTTGGGTTTTTACATTTTTACTGACACAACAAAGATGTGATGGTTGGCACAACAAACAGTCATGGCTTCTTCTCTCGTCAATGACCGTGTCAACCGGTATAAATACAGAATTAAACAAAGTGACATGGCTACCTGCCTTGTCATTTCTTCTTGTGTTTACTTAGAGAAGAAGGATGATCCAGTGGTTAGGGTTCCAGCCTGGGATTTAGGAGATCTGAGTTTAAGTCCCTGCTCCACCACATTCTTTCTGTGTGACCACAGGCAAGACACTTAATATCTCTGTGGCTCAGATCCCCATTTTATAGATGGGGGAAACAGTATTTCTCCACTTCATAGAGGTGCTATAAAGATAAATACATTAAAAAGTGTGAGGTGCTCAGATGCTTCTGTCATGGGGGCCTGCTGTACAAGTACCTAAAACAGACAAACAATTCTGCACCTACTGATATAGTATGTAACAAACAGGGGTTTGTGTTCAAATTGTAATAGATTCTCTGAAAAGTTGGAATTGATGTCAGGAGGATTGATATCCGCCCATAACAGGCGTCTGTTCTTGTCATTAGAAAAAATAACTATCCCCCATCTGAGAACCTGTTTCCTTCTCAGAATGCATTTCCCCTCGCTGTGAGAAAAGCAGATGATGATTGTCTGGTTGTTCATTATGTGCTTGTACTGGGCTGCTGGTTATCCTCACTTTAACAGAAAAGAGCCAACTGAAGAATGTATTTTGGAAACAAGAAGCATATAAACAATGATGGTCTGTGGACTTTGCAAAGAACACGGGACACTCTTCAGACCAACCAACTTTGACAGAATCCTTTCACCACAAGGAGAATGAATCCAGTACAAATGTTACACACGGAACAGTTTCTCAAAGCAAGCACTGAATGCACTAGTATGTAGAAATGGTATAAAAGTGCAGCAAGTCAAAGTTGAACAGCAATACAAAGCATTAGTGATCTCAGTTCTGGAAAGCTTAAATAGAAATATTAGTTTAAACATAAAAGCAAGCATTCGGAAAGCAGGCAGGCAATGACAATTGTTTTGCAAAGATTTTATTAAACTAAAGAAAACGTACAGGCAGCAATTTAACCCTAATGCTAAAGCCTTCATTAGGAGACCTCTTATGAATATAAGGGAAAGAAAATCAAATATAGGCTATGTAATTTTTACATATTTTTTAGAAACATATGTAAAGTAATATTCATTTTTCTTTCTTTAGCACAATATACAGATTTCAGTCACATTTGAAATAGAGTCATCAAACGCACCCACCTCTGCAAGGGAATTAAATCAGAGAGGTCGAGCTGCTTTGGTCAAGTGACAATAACGATGTAGTGCAGGAGGCTCAAGTTCAGGAGATAATTCTGATCTCTTGCTCTCTGGGCCTGTGGAGTTTAGTGCATTAGGGAGTTGATGCACTTGGGTTCCTAGCATATGGTGATTTGTGTTCCCTACATGAGTATCTTCAACTGGCACATTAACAGAGGAGACACTGACTCAGGGAAAGACCTTCTACTCTCCACCCCCTCAACAGCTGGAAGAAGGAGCTGCAGCCACAGCTACCTAAAAGGGGGAATAGGGTCTTTTGAACCGCATTCTTGGTTTCCCATTTGCACCGGGCATTGGTGATAAAGCCCGGCAGATGGAGAGAGAACCAGAACTCGGATGTCTGGAGTGACATCACCAAACTCAATTGATCGAAAGCAATTTAACGGATAACAATTTTACATCTTTTTATACAATAAACAACCCTCATTCATACAACTGTTTGTCTTCTTCTAAACATGGGACTGTAGCTTCCACTGAGCTCTGCCTTGCCATTCAGACACCATCTCCCAGCGTCACAAGCCAGGATAACTGGGAGTCTACATAGTACATAGTAGGTGGTTCTTGCTCTCCCATCTTGCCCACACTTGGATTCAATTGACTTGCTGAGGTTCATGCAAATGCTTTAACATCTCAACAGGCCCCTTTGATGGCAGGAAGATGCAACATGCATCTCGAGCAAACACACAAAACCACTGCCCAAAATAGAGAACATTCATTTCCAAAGGTTGTTTTTTTTGTTAAGGCTGTGAATAAGTCCTCCAAAGCTCCAATGAGAAATGAAGGGAGTTCCCCATTGCAAATACTCCCTTAATAAGAACTATGAATATGAGAACCAGTCTCAAGACTACAACAGGAGATGGAGCAGGAGGAAGACGGGGTGGGGGGGGGGGGAAGAGGCGGCCTGGTTTTCTCAGAACACAAACTCCAGATCATCTGCTTTTCTTTTGTAATCCTACGTCCTCTGTCAGTGCTAGAAAGCAGCAACACCAACAATAACAAAAATCAATGGCTCAGGAAAAGAGAGAGAGCGAGGATGAGGGAGTGAGAAAGCCAAGTATGAAGCAGCTCCGCTTTTAGCTGGAGCATGGAAGCAGAAAGGATGCAAAAGTCATTTGCACACACAGGCTGGGCATGTCAATGATTCTTTTTGCTCTCATTACCATTCTCCAGGTTTTCACTGCTTTCATAGCAGCCTGAATCCCGGGGGGAGCATCTGCTCAGTCCCTGGCCTTCTATGAGAAGTTTCTCCTGAGAGCCCGACTGGTCACTGTTACCTGGAGGAGGTGAGAGCGCACAATGAAAAAAAGGCCATTACACACGGAATCTGGTGCAAGTTCTTGGGCTAACCACTTCCTCTCCTCCCCAAACACTTACTAGCACCCACTGCATCAGCCCAGATATCTGAGCATTAGGAGGAGATAAGGCTCTGTGGAAAGTAATCACAATGGGGAATAATCACCCGAGAATGACAGGCTGGATCTGGACCCAGTATCGCAGCTGCCCAGAGCTGTGAGTACTGGGGTTTATGGGGCTGTGAGTACTGGGGTTTATGACTCTGCACTGGGAACAAGGAGGGAGGCTGCTAGCTAGTTAAGTGGGGAGGTGGTCGCTCTATGTGGTTTGCAGAGAGCGGCAGAAGAGGGCACCGGAGGGGTTTGTTGGGGGGAAGTTCACTGGCGCCGAAGGTGACCAGAAGCACCCAAGACTCACCACTGGACGGGAACTTTGTTCAGGACTCCTGAACTCTATGTGTAGATACATTGCTCGGTGTCTGCCCTTTCAGCCTGTGCTACCACTGGACCCGTGGGGCCTTGGTTTGGATGCAACCTTGTTCTACTGTTCCCCCTATATTTCCCCTTGTTGTTTTTCTCCTCTCATCCCTCTGTAAATAAATATTTCCCTTTCTTATATCCATTGTACTTTTCCTATGGGTGGGTATTCACTCTGGGGGGTTTGGAACAGATGCCCCTGGGATAGAAGGGGTTTTTCCTGCTGCATTCCTGTGCATGCCTTCTCTTGGCCAGAGCAGACTCCATCTTGGCCACGAGGACGCTAAAGTTACAAGTGTGAGAACAGTGACATGAATAAAAGAAAGTGCAGCAGGGACTTGTTTAATGGGATAGTGTCAAAAGCCTTTGATCAAATAGCTGACCTATCCTGCAGAGGGAAGCCAGGGGAAGGATCAAATGGAATTACTAGTAATTCTTCCCCATGATGGGGCAGAGAGCAAGTGGGAAACCAGTGGTAAGAATTCCTTCCTCCCTGGCTCTGTGACTATGCCCAGCACTCCCAACAGGGGGAATCAGGCTGTGTGCTGGAATCGAGGAATTAGCCCTTAGAGTTTGGTCAAACTGTTTTGTACAGAAACTAAATTCAGGACTGGAGAAATCAAACCACCAATTGCCTGATGCACAGCTGCCGTTTATGTTGTGTTGTGTTATGTTCTTCAACAAAAGCCAGAAACTGCTAGTCTGATGCCTATTCTCAGAGCATGAAAAAAATGTAATTATGGAGCAGACACAGAAGCTGCTGCTCACACAGGCTCCAGCTGTCTCTTTCCCACTCCACTTCTTGTCCACCCCCATCACACGCAAGAGGAATTCATTCTCTCCAACCCCCCTCCAAATAATGCCTTACATTTTTAAGCCAAAGTGGAAGGTCACTATAAAAAACTATTACTGCAAAAAAAGTGAACATACTAAATCAATCTTGTAAACAATGCGGTACAAATCATATTAGGTGACAAAAATACCCCAAACCAGAAAGGAAAAGAGCCTAAAGTTTGTAATTTGAATTTATTCCTGGGGAATGACAGAAAAGTTAAGGATGGCTCTGTGAAGAACGTATAGTGTAGACTAATTGCAAACGGTACAAGGAGAGGTCAGAGGAGAAGGGAGAAATTGCATCGTTTGTGAAAGTGTAAACCTACAGCACAAATCTCTTAGCAACAGTATTGGACTCACTGGCTGTGTTAGCAACACTTGATTTCCAGATCAATGAGCCACATATTGTACTATGACTAGAACCCTGACTATTCAAGCTTAGCTGATGTATTTTTTCTCTTAAAAGTCACATACACACACACACACACACACACACACAGGACAGAAGATTTTACAGGAAAATAAATAACTGTGGTGGAGTGCAATGCAAATGTAAAACCATCTGCAATTCCTTAGAAGCCTAGTTATTTAACATAGGCACCACAGAAATGCCTAGATTACATTAGACAATATCTACAGACTCCCTCAACTAGTTTCCTCTCCCAGAAGTGGTCAAAAGAGCCCTCAGCAGGGCACTGGTAAAAGCCAAAACCCACTTACTATCATATTCCTGTAAAAGCTCCACAGCTGTGAGGAGAACAGCTCTGTGCTCTGGGTCTCGGATATTCAGCTCATCCAAATCTTCCTCCTCCAGCAGTTTGAAAGTGTCCAGATCTTCATAACCATTGAATAGAAAAGTGGGCATGTGCTCCTGTGTGTGGGAAACAGGAAACTAGTGAGCTGTACAACAAGGCAAAAGATCTACCACCGGAAAACAAAGGAAAGTTCAACCAATCCATGCCTATCTAGGCCGTTTCTTCTTTATCTTTATCTTCCTAACAGATTATTATTTATTACTAGGAAACAACTGTAATACAAAGAAAAGACCCCCCCCCCCCATCCACCCTATTTACTGTAAACGCAGGGCCTTTGTTACTCAGGGCATAGGAGGGGCATAACAATGTACATCCACAGACTATACCAGTTCCTCTTTCTTACAGTGGGATAGGTTGTTTAGAAGGCTTAGTTTGTACTAACAGGCTCTGTTTTGATATACCAGTTTTCTTGAACTGCTGTAAATTCACAGTGTCAATTACAATGCCCTCAATATGCCATGGCATGCACCTATTCATAGAATATTAGGGTTGGAGGAGATCATCTAGTCCAATCCTCTGCTCAAAGCAGGACCAATCCCCAGACAGATTTTTACCCCAGTTCCCTAAATGGCCCCCTCATGAATTGAACTCACAACCCTGGGTTTAGCAGGCTAATGCTCAAACCTCTATTATGGCAGATTCTTTCTGCAACAATATTCTCAATGGGTAATATTTTCAAAAGTGCTTAAGTCCCATTTTCAAAAGTGAATTAGGCACTTGGGTTTCTTTCCAAGAGACACAGGCTGTTAAGGATATGTCTACACTGAGATTAAAAACCTGTGGCTGGTCCGTGCCAGCTGGCGCAGCTGTTTGATTGTGGTGCAGACATTCAGGGTTGGGCAGGAGCCTGAGCTCTAAGACCCTGTAAGGTGGGAGGGTCCAAGAGCTTGGCCTGAATGTCTGCACCACAAATAAACAGACCCTTAGCCTGAGCCCGAGTCAGGTGGCACGGACCAGCCACAGGTTTTTAACTGCAGTGGAGAAGTACCCAAAGTGCCTCAGTCATGATCCTCGTGTTTCTTTTTCTTGAACCTCTAAGATTTTGAGACCAGAATTTTTAAATTGGGCTTAAATTATTGAGCTAAGAGAAAATATAATGGACACACTTGTTGCGTAAGGAAAGAAGAGATTACACCGCACTTTTGCATTTTGCACAGCAATACATCACTGTCATGGTGCTTTCAATGGCTTTCAGCGGGCAGTTCCATAGCTTCATACATTCATTGAAGAGAAACGGTTGCGTAGGCATAAGCCTTGGAAGGAATTTACACATGGGCTTTTTTTTTTTTAACTGCTTTAAATTCAGGCTTTTAAAAGAATTAAAAGTTCATTTTTTTAAAGAGTGCTTTTGTAACCCCCACACTGCGTGGGTGTGGTGTTCTGTCCCACCTAGTGGCACTGAGACCATTTAGAGAGAGTTAAATGAGTCTGCTCTACAGCCTTAGCTAAGGGCCAGTTGGCTTTTAGCTCACGCAGTAGAGGCTCATGCAGCGCCAGAGGCCCCAGGTTCGATCCCGCCTGCCGACGACCGAGGTCTGTTGGGGTTACACTTTAAACAAAGCATTCCAATAATAGGAGAAATCACTGAAGCTATAGGCATCTGTGTTTGAATTTTATTCCCTCTACTCTGCAGTTCCCTTAACTATGAATTAACAGAACAACCTATTTTGGCACTGCAAGAAAAAAAAATAAAACAGAGGGAATTTTTCACTACTGCTAAAAAAGAATCAGTAGTTTAGCAAATGCAAACAACCATATAATAAAGAAATTATAGGACTGCAGAGTATATAAATACTGTCCTAACCATTGGCACACCACCTTCCTAAACCTTCAGTGCCACACCTGCTGTTGGATTTAGAATCCAATCTCCTAAAACAGCATGCTACGTAGATGCACAACATATCACATCTTTTCAGTAACAGAGTAATAGGAAGAATAAACTACAGGCATAGCAGTTTATCTCCAACGTGTCTGACCTTGAGCTTCCTGGAACAAGGCCTATCAACTTCCTTATTAAAAGAAACAGTAACCTAATGTCCTTGGATATATGCTAGTTTTTTTGTTGTTGTACTCGATCTCACTGCCAATCTCTGGAATGAATTAGGATCCTGGCATGTATGTAACTGAACCCTTCAGCAGTCCATTACACTGGATGTTACTTGTTCTATACATCAGCTACATCCCCTCCGTAAATTAAGAGCCAATTCTGCTTCTATTACATAAATGATGAAAGTTCCAGTGGGTGCAGGATTAGGACCTTATTGTGTAGCCCTTAAAAACTTAATTAACTCAACAGCACGCCCCCTTCCCATAGCAAAATTGTATCGAGAGAGAGAATGGGAACTAACCTTTAAATTGATACGATCAAGGAGATCCTCGACAGACTTGGGCTGAGGTGGTCTTCCTTTCCGTCGTCTCCTTGTGGGCCGCTTTGGTTTCTCTTCCTCCTCATTTAACACGTCCACATAGATAAATTTGAAAGTGCCCACTTTATTGTTCAACAGGCCCATCCAAGTGCCCATGGGAGGTTTGCTGATTATATCAATGATATCACCTTTCTGAAGGCCCAACAAGAAAGAATGGGACAGTTAGGCACATAATTCCTATCAATATTCAGGCAAACTCACTATCCTCACTCTGTTTTTCCATTTACACAGAATCTGAAGACCTCAGGGGGATTTGCAAACATGAATCTATCACATACACTTGTGAGGTGTGTATTATTACACCCATTTTAAGAGGGGGAAAGAGGCAAACAGAGACTAAGGCTATGTCTACATTAAAAAAGCTGCAGTGTCATAGCTGTAGTTGTGCTGCTGTAGTGCTTCAGTGCAGACACTTACTATAGCAACGGAAAGGGTTCTTCCATCACCGTAGTTAATCCACTTCCCCGAGATGCAGTAGCTAGGTCAACAGAATCATTTTTCCATCAACCTATTGTTGTCTACACCAGGGGTTAGGTCAGTATAGCTACATCTCTCAGGTGTGTGGATTTTCACACCCCAACATGTAGCTATGCTGATGTAAGTTTTCAGTGTAGACCAGCCCTAAGTGACTTGTCCAAGATCATACAGCAAGTTAGTCACAGATCCTGGAATAGTTCCCAGGAGTTCACACTTACACCAGCAGTTCTCAGTTATTTATGGATCGTTGCTGGTGCTCTCCATTGTCTTGCTTTTTAACATGGTCAGGCAGCTGAGAGCATCTTCCTTGTGAATGTACTGCAGTCTTTGTGTTTCAGGAACCAGAGTCAAGCCAGTGATATGAAGTTTAAACCACAATTCTCTTTATTAGTTACATGACAAGATGGCTCCTACAGACTCTGAGCACACAGATCCTGAGTGTGACTGCATTATGTGAGTGACCGCTTATAATGGGAGGCATTCTGGTGATTATTCATGACTAATTCTAAAGAGACAGTACCACAAGATACTACTACTCTGTGTCTATCTGCAGTTGCTGTTTCAGCTCTGTGGGACTGTTCGTAGCTAGTGCAAATTAGAATAGACTCTGTTCTAGTTCGGTGCAGGTGGACTAGCTCTGGCAGTGTAGGTGGCCACCTAGACATAGGGCACCCAGTGTTGGAAGTGTGCAAAAGTGAACTTTATACTATCTTTGCAGCCTTTTCCCCACAAGGCTTGTCCTTGATAGCAGCCACAGATCTGGCTCAGAATATTTACTTTATGAGAAATTAACAACCCTGGCCTGATTCTGCTGAGTTCTTCTGCTTGCCTGTTGCTAGAAAAAAATCTCTCTGAAAATTGATTTTTCAAATCCGTGTAGAGTGAGAGTATATATACAGCATATATTTTCAGTTCCACAGTAGTTAACTCCCCCACTCCCTTCACACATACCTCTCCACTCCCTTCTTTGCCTGCCTCTCTGGTATTTTAAAGCATGTTTGCTTGGATTTTGGAAAATACTAAGAACTACTCACCTATATTTTATCACCCAAACAACTCCTAAGAGCACATTGCAATACCAGAAAGAGACAGGTAATGGGAATGCAGGGAGCACAACCTCAGCTAAATAAGGGACTAAGTACTATTAACCTTCCTCAGGCTAAGCTCTTACTGACTTTTCAGTGGGAGTTTTGCCTGAGTAGCATATGTCATTTGATCCAAGAAGAAAACTGGTACCTTAAGTTTCAGGGAGTCAGTATCATAAGGGCTGGGTGTAAAATCAGTGTGAACCCTGGCTCGTCCACAAAAAGGTCCCCTATAGGGAGGCTCTTCATCATCACCATCTTCAGACTTGACACTCTCCCGGTTGCTGGCTGAGGAATCTGTCGTGCTCACTGTCTGACCACCTGTGCGTGGGAACCAGAGTAACAGCTTACAAAAAATATGCTTGTGAGAAGGGCTCAGCAACACCAATTCATTTCTGCCACTGTCAGAGATGAGAGGCAAACACGAAAATGCTAGTAAGAACTTCATTTTATTTACTGTGGAAATCTCTGTGTCCTGCAACAACAACAACAAAATGATGTAATTATAATTGAACTTACTCATTGAGCTCTGACCACTTAAGGAGCTCCTCAGGCTTTCTACTGAACCACCAGCTTTCAGTTTGGGCTTATCCAGAGAATCAGTCTCTAGCTGTGGTGACTGCGGAGAACCTGGCATGACATCAGGGCTGGAGTCCTGAAAGAGATTTAAACCCATTTCAGATTGGCAGATTCCCATGGAAGATGGCAGGTACTGCTTGCATGTATCTTAAGGGGAAAACTTAGTACATATTCTACTACATGTTACCAGCAAGGTCAGAAGTCATTATGATTTATTTATTGTTTGCATTATGGTAAGGTCTAGGGGATGCAACGGAAATCGGGGCCCCACTGTGCTAGGCTCTGTATAAACACATAATAGGAGACAGTCCCTACTCCAGGCAACTTACAATCTGAACAGACAAGACAAAAAAAGGTGAAAGAAAGGGGGCATTATCCCCATTTTATAGATGGGGAAACAGAAATTAAATAACTTGCCCAAGGTCACAAAGTCTGTGGCAGAGGTGGGAATGGAAACTCCTGAATCTCGGTCCAGTGCCTTAATCACAAAACCATCCTTCCAAGTTCATTTGTTTGCGTGCTCTCTCTCTCTCTCTGTTGTATTACAATTTAGGCAACCATTTTGGATAGTACTTTTAAAATCCCAAACTAAACTTTTACTTTATGCATTGTTAGGTGTTTAAAAACCCAGCAGAGAAAGTTTATCCTTCACACAAAACTCCCAGTTTAGAGATGAAAAATTAAGACACTAAATATTTTTAGTGAGAACGTTTGACAAGCAGTTAAAAGCCCATAGCAACTTTCCCAATCAGGCATTTGCATAATATAAGCAAAAATAAGTAGCACCATGTAAATCAAACAGAAATGACAAGATGGGTGAGGTAATATGAAGAAGAGCTCTATGGAGCTTGATAGCTTGTCTCTTTCACCAATAGAGTTGGTCCAGTAAAAGATATTATCTCACCCATCTCGTCTTGCTAATATTCTGGGACCAACAGAGATACAACAAGACTGCAGACAGACACAAAAATGGAAATTTTAAACTTCTTGCAACAAATTACTGCCATTTTTTGTTTGTGTACATGAAGGAGAAAACAATTAACTAGAAAATGCAACCCAGGCACAAAGAAATTATAAACAAAAGCAAAGATGCTTAGACACACATTTCTGTGTTCATTCCTTCATGCATTATAGACAATCCAAAAACATCTTATCCATTTTGAAATTGTGACAGCCTATCGGAAGAATGGCTAAAGCAATCATTTCCATTTCTGGTAGCTATTTGCAGGCAGAGCAGCATTTGTGTGTTTTTGAACACATGCTGGCAGCACAGAGGCACTTAGCTTGAGAAACGATGCCACAAAGATAGATGGTACAACATTTAAAAAAAAACAAACAAAAACAAAAACCAACCCTGCTGATATATAGAATAGTTTGCATTTTCACAGACGTGTGGTCACGAAACCATCTGAATGAAACCTATTATTTACATGCTGCAGAATCATCAGGAAATATCTCCCCAGCATATGACTCTACTGGTCAAGCGAATCTCCAGAGAAAGCAAAAGAGCAGAAGCAGATCACTAACCCAATGTGCACACAGTTTTTCAGATTTATCTCATTCCTAAGTAGAATATCCAAAGGGTTGTTTGGCCCAAACATCTTATCTTTAAAGTTCCATAATACAGGAGGAAATGTGATGTTCGTTGCAGCTTATTATTTCTTAATTGAATTGCCCATTTGAAATGAACAATTAAAAAAAAAGTATCATCAGCATAGATCCTATTTATGAACCAACGTGGCTGCGTACATACTTAGGAAGGGGATTCCACCTGTGAGCCACACTGCACATGATTGAGGATGACACCACATGCTGTGTTTTTAAAAATTTAGTGATAGAACAACTCAGTTTGTCATTATTTTGAATATGATTTAGTTATTTTAAAAAATATATTAATTATTATTATTACCATTTATATGATGGTAGTGCCTCAAGGCCTCATCCGGGTTGGGCCCCATTGTGCTGGGCACTGTTCTAATGTAACTCACTGGTGAGTGTGCATTACAAGGCCCCCTTTCCCCTCCGCGATTCGCAAAGAGTATGAGTTGGTACAGTCCCAGCTAACCAGCTGTGTCTCTTTAGCTCAGGCTTTTAGCTCTGGAGGTTACCTTGTGTGTCAGCCAAGACTTCAGCTGCCACACAAACAGAACAAACAACAGTCCCTGCCCCAAAGAGTTTACAATTGAAAATGAAAGTTCCGGGCTAGCAGCATGGGCTTGAGCAAGGCAGCCATGTCTGTGCGTGAAGTGATGGACGATATCCATTACAGGGATGACCAATGAAATAACTCTGTTCAGCAGTATTGGTTCTGCAGCTCCACCTGTCACCTTAAACCTTACCATTGCTTTCCTCTGGGGCATGTGCGGCCTAACACTCATCCCTTCTCTTTAACAGCATCAGGTAGCCCATTCTCAGGGAGTTCAAAAGGCACTAGGTGGGAAGACTGCCAGGCAGAGCTACTTCCTCCTAAAGTAAACCCATGCTATAGTTTAGTGGGATGAGACACACAGCAACGTGCTCTTCTCCAGCCTATAAAGCACAAGGGAGAAAGAGGGCAAAAAACCCACCCCAAATCTCCCTTTCTTGATGTTTCTTTCTAATAAGTTTTCAAGAAAAATTATTACAAAATTGTATTGGCTAGCTGTTAAATTCCTCTCCACAGTCTGCAAGAATTAAATGAGTGTGATAGTTGGTCACTCTATTCTGGTGCTGCAGGTCCAAATTTACCAGGGCAGTTAAAATTATGACTTGATAGATATCACTTGCATTAGCCTGGGATCAGTCTGCTTTAGGGAAGAGAAATATGGATCACTTCATTTGGGGGCAAAAATCCACAATTATCATTATTAATTTGAATTGTAATTGCACCTAAAAGTCCCAGCCCCACTGTACTAGGCACTGCACAAACATATACCAAAGAGACGGTTCCTGCCCTGAAGAGATATACCTATCTCATATTTAGAACCGGACCCTCAGCAGCAATGCTGAGAACTGTTCGGTGAATGACAAGAGGAAAATAACGTCTGGAAGTATGTAGCCAAACTGTCCCAAGAGGTCTCACCAGAGGATTCCTGATAAATGGATACTATGATGGTATATTTGTTCCTGTCCACTAGATAGCATGCTCCAGCTTTCTGACACTGCAAGGATATGCTAATTTGCTGCTGATTATTAAATGGCCACTAGAGGGTAATATTTATTAGAGAAAATTTTGCTTTCCCAGCTGTTTTGTAGGCAATTACTTACACATTTCAGGTAGAAAGACTGATTTATTTTCTTTTAGTTCATTAGATGCTTTGACAATCCACCAAACCAAAGAACATGAAGTCTGCCAAAAGAGATTTTCTCAGAGAGAGATTTACTTTGGCCAGAGTAAATTCAAAGCACAGCTTTACAACTGGTTGCTTTTAAGAATGAACTGTACAAATCTGTGATGAAGCAATGATAGAAATAGATATGAGGTGTATCTATTTTCATAGGCTGCTGCAGAGGGAGCGCTAATAATAAAATAATAATATTAAATAATATATGGAGATATACCTATCTCATAGAACTGGAAGGGACCCCGAAAAGTCATTGAGTCCAGCCCCCTACCTTCACTAGCATAACCAAGTACTGATTTTACCCCAGATCCCTAAGTGGCCCCCCTCAAGGACTGAACTCACAACCCTGGGTTTAGCAGGCTAATGCTCAAACCACTGAGCTATCCCTCACCCCAAAGGACAGAGGTTAGATCTGCATAGGGAAGGGGAGATGTATATGTTGCGTTCTATAGGGAGTTCTGTTTAGGGTGTCAGATGCATTTTAATTTTAGTTTTTTGAACTTGTATAAGGAGCCAGTGCTCTTTTTATCACTGTAGAAATCCAAAGAAATAATAAATAAAATGATAGAGGTGGAATACAACACAGGGTGTGTAAAATTGTCAGTCACATCCCTCTGTTGTAGTCACCTAGAAGGAGATCTGAGATTGCATTGTCATGATTAGGTTTCTATAAAAGACATTTCAAAGTGAGGGGTTTTAGAAGAACACAGGAATTGCTGTATCACACAGTCATACAGAAAAATTTCTTCCTGACCTCGATGGGCCTTTGGGAGATACCTTGAAGCATGAGGATCAATATCCCCTATAGTTTTTATCCTAGCAAATATAGTCCATTCTGAGCATTACATACCTGCTCTGACAGAGAGCTGCTATATTTTTTAGACATCCTTTTCTTCATGGTTTCTTTTACAGACTTCACCTTTTTGCCAAGAGATATACGGGAGGCAGAGGGCGACTTGATCACTTCTTTATAAATGAAGTCTCCTTCTTTGCCCTGCAAAATAAACTAATGCAATTAGAGACTTGATCTGCATGCATTAGTCTCATATACCGTATCTTTCTCACTACTGGTGAAAAGGGAAAGCATAACATCTAGATTTCAGTTTCCCAGATCAAAAGGTAATGTGAACAAAACATTGCAAACTAGTTTAAAGATACTAGCTAAAAGATATACATCATGTGCTTATCAACTAAGTGTAAGGAAGAAAATCACGGTGTACCGATTTCTCTAGTCCCAAGGAAACTAATCCCTCCTCATTATCAGATATGCTGGCAATAAGTTGTTTTATTACTTAGATTTGATCTAAGCTACTTGATATAAAAGAATTGGCAGACACCAAGGCTAAAATAGTAAAAGTTGTTCTTGAGGGTGAAAAATAGTACAGTGAGCTGATCAATATTTATAATATACCGTATATACTCGTTCATAAGCTGAATTTTTTTAGTAAAAAAGGGAAGCACCAGAGAAGGGGGTCGGCTTATGAACGGGTATAGAGAGGGAGAGGTGAGACACAGCCCCTCCCCCCAACAGAGGGAGCAAGGAGAGGCAGCAGAGCCAAAAGGGAAGAAGCGGGGCCAGAGTCTCTCTGCTTCTGGGCACGCTGCTCTCCCCCCAGCCTCCGACGCAGCTGCAGCCTGTAAATGGCAGTGGGTGAGAGGCTGGGTGAGAGTTCTTGGGGGGCTGTGGAAAAGTTGGGAATGTTGGAGGGGTTGTGAGGTTGGGGGCGGAGATGTTGGGGACTGCTGTAGATGTGGCTGAGGGGTTGGGGCCGCAGTGAGTGGGATGTGTGTGGGGGCTGTCATGAAAAGTGGGGCTGGTAGAGCGTTGTTGGGGTATATGTGGAGTAGGAGGGGCATTCAGGGGTCTGAGTGGGGTAGGGAGGAGGGGCATTCAGGGGGTCTATGTGAGGTGGGGAGCCCAATTGTCATAGTCACAGGGCCCCCAAATTCTTTAATCTGGGTCCAGTGCTTCATCTATAAAATGCACACAAAAATGTTTTAGGCCTTCACTCATTGGTGTCTGTGAAAGGCTTTGAGATATCTGGATGGAAGTCACTATAGAAGTGCCTGTTGTTACTGAAGTTGACAGTCCTCCCCCCAGCCTCTTGATGCTATTTTTGGTATAAAAAAAACTGTCAAATGTATTACTTTGATCCAAAAGTTGCTGTTTTGAAGTCTGCAACCAAAAGGAATACCGTATATACTCCATCATAAGCTGGTTTGTTTATAAGCCAATCCTCCCCCCTCCCCGCCCCAAGATGGATAAGTAAAGATGGAAAAATTTTATGATTCGTTCATAAGCTGACCCTATAATTCAGGGGTCAGCAAACTTTGGCTCCCGGGCCATCAGGATAAGCTGCTGGCAGGCTGAGATGGTTTGTTTACCTCAAGTGTCCACAGGCACAGAGGTAAACCTAAGTAAACAAAGTGTCCCGGCGCGCCAGCTACTTACCCTGACAGGCCGGGACAGCAACTGGTGGGGAAATTTTTTTGGGGGGGAGAAGCTGGTGGTCAGGGGAGTAACCCCTGTGACCACCCCCCACATGACCCCACCCCTAGCCCAGGACCCCCACACTCTCCCCATCCCATCCCTTCCCACCTTATCTAGATAGGGCCAGGGGAGGATGTCTCTGGCCTGGCCGCAGCCTGCTCCGACGGGCCAGACCGGGCAGCGCGGCCGCAGCCTGCTCTGACGGGCTGGGTCGGGCGGTGCAGCCACAGCCTGCTCCGAGGGGTGGGACCGAGCGGCACGGCTGCAGCCTGGTTATTTACAGATGCCCCTCCAGCTCAGTGCTCTGCTCCCATTTCAGGCTAGGCTCCTCCCAACTCCAGCCACCCTGCAATGCTCAGGTTTGGTCCAGCCACCCCTCACAGAAGGTGACTGGGCAAAACTGGAGGAAGTGGCATTGCGAACTGCCTCGCTGGGTTGCCGCACAACTCAGTTTTGTTTTGGTTTTTTTTCCAGTGGTTGGGGCTCCCCCCTAAGAAGCGGCCATGTGCAAATGCACTGAAGGCACATTGGTTAATCCAGAGTGGTCATCGTTGTTTTATTCTTGTGTCCTGGTCACAAACTAGATGTTTTTCCATCTGTGGTGAAGAACAGATATCACTCAACTTGCTTGAGGCGATACAGTAAGTTAATGACTTAGCTAGGAATAGAACAGAGATCTGACCCCTAGTCCTGTGCTGCAACCACCTAATCACACTACGTCTCACGTACAGCATATAAATAAACACACACAGTATATGACTGTCACAAAGCTGAGAAACCAATGCAATTGGTGATTAAAAAAATTGTGCTCTCTGGGCTGCTTACTTGGATCCCAAAACTGCTATTATAGAACTAGACTACATTTAACTCTACCAAGGAGCATTTCATAGTACCATACACGAGGAGCCTCCTGCTATTTCAGATCCAGCCCTTCCTATCTCGTACTCACCGTTTGGTCAGAGTTGTTGTTGTTTCCAACGTGCAGTGAACGATTTGTCAAGTCAAATCCTCCAAAGCTACAGGTTCTCTGTGGAAAGGACAGTATTAGTACAGAAACAATCACATTACAAACAATTAACTCACTCAAGCATCTTCCCCCATTTGGAGAACATCACTGAAAACACAAATGTGTTGAAAAGATGGAAATGGAAAAAAGGATGAGAAATTGAGAAAACTGTCCACTCATTTTATGCAGTAAGCCTTCCAACTTTCTGGCAACCTCATTCCAGCCTCCTCTCCTATACTAGTCCAAAGTAGTATACGTATAGTCAGGGGCCTCAATCCTGTGAGGTGATGAGTGAGCACCTCCTGGGAGTAGCTGAACACCCTCAACTTCCCCTGAATTCAACGGATGAGCTAATCACCTTGCATAATCAAGTCCTGGGGGTGGAAGGGAACATAACCCCAGTCCACCTGTCCAAAAGGGATATGCCACCAGAGGTTTTATTCTTCAAAAGCAATGACTCCAGTTTAGGCATCTTTCACTACCTCCTTGGTGGTACAAAGCAGCTTTATCACCCGCTGGGAGAGAAAGTAGGTCATATTTATAATGGCACGATTAGTCCAGTGGCATGACTCATTCACTGCTCCTCAGACCTGGCCAAAAACTCTGATACTGTTGATGATAATCTCCCTGCCTAAAAACATCAGCACTATGACACCAGTTCCCACCCAAGAGCACAAAGCCACAGAGCGACCAGTCATACTAAGTAAAGCCACACTTCCACAGCAAGAAACAAAGTGTTCAGCTCTGGCTGACGGGCCTGTTCTAAAGCTCTTGTATCAGTTGGAAGAGGACTAGCTTCTTTGAACTCAGTGGGAATACAACTACTGCCTTTCAATACAAGGTCAAACTGTTAAAACAGTTTCCCCGCCTCAAAAATTGGGGCACAGTACTGTAGTGACCTTGCTCTGTTCCAATGACTGTGTTTTTAGATTCTTTTCACTGACAATAACGAGATATTTTAACGCGAGCCGTTTTAAGCCGGCCCATGAGCTCCTGCTGGGGAGCGGGGTCTGGGGCTTGCCCCGCTCCAGCGCTTCAGCCAGGGCGCTGGGTCGGGGGTTGCACCACGCGGCTTAGTCCTGCTCCAGTGCTCCAGCTGGGGTGCCGGGACACCTTGGCATGACCCTGCTCCGGGGCGCAGGGTCGGGGATGCTCCACGCATAGGAGCCAGAGAAGGGACATGTCACTGTTTCTGGGAGCTGCTTGAGGTAAGCGTCGGTCAGAGCCTGCACCCCTGAGCCTCTCCCCACAGCCCAACCCTCTTCCCCAGCCCTGATCCCCCTCCCGCTCTCCAAACCCTTCAATCCGAGCCCAGAGCACCCTCCCGCACCCCAAACTCCTCATCCTCAGCCCCATCGCAGAGCCTGCACCCCCAGCCAGAACCTGCACCCCTTCTCACACCTCTCCTCCAGCCCTGATCCCCCTCCCACCCTCCGAACCCCTTGGTCCCAGCCCAGATCACCCTCCTACACCCCAAACGCCTCATCCCCAACCCCACCCCAGAGCCCTCGCCCCCTCCCGCAACCCAACCCCAATTTTGTGAGCATTCATGGCCCGCCATACAATTTCTATTCCCCAATGTGGCCCTCAGGCCTTAAACTTTGCCCATTCCTGTTTTAACCACATAACTGGGACCTTCCGTGCCAGGCACATTCTAACTAATACCACCTTGCACAGATAACCTAACACTGAAGAGAGGACAGTGGAACAAAACTTAAGGAATTGTTCTCAACCAATGTCTTTTAAGCTAGCCAGAGTAGTTCTTGTAGCAATCTTCTCAGAGAAGAAAGTCCTTGTAAATCTGTAACCTTTACCGTGCCCTTTCATAGCACTTTGATCATTTCTGGTAAAACTGTACCAAACAAAAAGTCTGTGGATGAAAAGAGGGATATTCAATGGAATGGTCATGCAATCAAAACTCCGCAACATATTAGGATATTGGGAGGAATGAAAAACTGATGTGATTCAAAAATTTCAAGCATGCCCAGGTCACTGAAACAAATATAAATGACAAAAACAAATGGCAAGACAAGACTGTGACCACTTCCACTGAATACAAGGGCATTACAATTTCCCTGAGGTTGCAGCAAGCATTACAATTTTAGGAAGAAGGATTGGAGGTGCTTGAAGGTCATGAGAATCTTATCAGGTTTCTGCTGTTTTAAAAAGAAGTTTCTTTAAAGCTAATTGATTAGAAAGTCCACTCCAAAAATAAAAAAAAAGAAAAAGAAAGAAGTGCTCTCCTTTTCTTCTCTAATTTTATCTATGTGAACAAGCTAATGAGTTCCATAATGAGACTTCCAAACTGAGACTACTCACATGTTTTTAAATGATTAAACAGCTTCCCTTTGGAGATGGCATCTGTATTTACAAGAAGAGAACATCAAAGGGCATTTCTAATGCATAATTGTGGTACTTCTTTAGAAGATATGAGGAACTAGTGGATCTTGTCAGTCTGCATATGCCCTACAAGTATTCAACTTGCAGAGGGGTGTTTCAGGTATCTGGTACAATCAACTGAAATGTCATTACATAAAATAATATTATTCGAGAACACTATTTCTGGAAGTAGCATGACAGTATCAGTGATGGGTCAGCTAGTCTACACAGAAGCACTAATGGAATAGTCAGGAGAAACTGTTAATTGTACTGGGTCAAAATAAAGTATTACCACAGTGGCCATCAACCAAATGCAAGTGTAACACATGCCTGCTGGGTGTGGTGCTTTGTTCCCCTCTGGTGGCATCTCGACCATCTAGAGATTAATGACACTGCTACAATCTTAGCTAAAAGCCATGTCAGGTTAGGAAGAGTGGGGCACTTGGGGCTGCTAGTAGGGTCTTAGACTGGGGTTCAGAAGGGCTAGTAGGAGGATAGACTGGTGTGTGGGTTCAGGAGCTAGTAGGGTGACAGCATTCAGCTGGGGGCTGCAGAGCCACATGGGGATGGAGGGCTGTAGGGCCACATGGGGATGGGGGATGCAGGGCCACATGGGGACAGGGGCAGATGTGCCCTCAAAAAACCTGTTCCATGCTTCTCCCTCCCACGCCCAACAGCCCTCCAGGTTCACTCCCAGACTCCTTCCCTCTCTCTCAGCTCCTCCATTATCCCTGACTCCCCCAAGCCTTTGCACTACTTCTGAGGGCTGCAGGAAATAAGCTGCTGTATTGTAGTTTAAATCAGTGGTTCTCAACCTTTCCACACTACTGTATCTCTTTCAGGAGTCTGATTTGTCTTGTGTGCCCCCAAGTTTCACCGCTCAAAAACTACTTGCTTACAAGATCAGACATAAAAATACAAAAGTGTCACAGCACACTATTACTGAAATATTGCTTACTTTCTTATTTTTACCATATAATTATAAATCAATTGGAATAGAAATACTGTACTTACATTTTCATGTATAGTATATAGAGGAGTAAAAAGTCATTTCTGTATAAAATTTTAGTTTGTACTGACTTCACTAGTGCTTTTTATGTAGCCTATTGTAAAACTAGACAAATATCTAGATGAGTTGATGTACCCCCTGGAAGACCTCCGAGTACCGCCAGGGGTACATGTACCCCTGGTTGAGAACCACCGGTTTAAATAAATGATTACTCAAAGTTCTGTGTTAATAAGCCTGGTAAGGAATCTATTTATCAAAAAAATTACCCACATCTTTTTTTCGTCTGTATTGTTACAAACATACTTGTTGACAGGTATTTTGAAATAAATGACCAAGATAATTGAAACTGGCATGATTATATTGTGTTATTCTGACAAATAAAATAGGCAGTATTTTAAAATATCATGCACAGAATTTTTAATTTTTTGGCACAGTATTTCTCCAGGAGTAATACAGTAAGCTTCAGAGGTCCCAGGTTCCATCCTGCCCGCCAACGACACGGGTCTGTCGGTGTTACAAGTGGGAGCTCGTCTGGGATATCAACTGGGAAGTCTCTGAAGCTTGGTATGCACTTCCTCAGCTAGGGGACGTATGTAACCCAGGCCTGCTTGGTGTGGTGCTCTGCCCCCTCTAGTGGCACCTAGCCCAGCTAGAGATTGATGAGTCTGCTACACCCTTAGCTAAGAGCTATATGCCTTTTAGTTCATGCAGTAGAGGCTCATCACTAAGCTTCAGAGGTCCCAGGTTCGATCCCACCCACCAGTGACCAGGGCCTGTTGGCGTTACACAAGTCTGAACACCAACCAAGGGTCAAGCTACTACTGGTGATTGACAATTAGTTGGAGAGATCAAGGATGTGACTATGTAGCTCTCACATCGAGAGCAAACCACATCCTAAAAAATTAAACTTATGTGGAGGCCTCCTAAAGATATTCTAAAATCTAAAATTTGTGAGAAACAGTATTTTCTCTGTAATGTCTTGTTAAATATCTCGTTAAATTTTCTGGGTATAGACATTATCAATCACCCTTCCCTTCAATCTAAGTAGGGAAAAAATCTGCATTGTCAGGACAGCAGACTAGATGGCATAACACTTGGGACTCTGGCCAGTCCTGATGCCAAGTTTCCAGTGGATTCAAATGGCTGGTAGTAGGAACTGTGGCAAATACAGGCTTTTGTGACCAGGAAGAAGAGGGACTAGGTTGGAATCCTGAGTAGAGCTTAACCTACCAGATCTCCTACTATACAGGAACATCGACTCCTCTGCTGGCTACCCTTCTCTCTTCCCTGTATCCCAACTTCCCAGGTCTCACCTCCATCACATGCTAGGGAGCAGGAGCAACAGCCAGGGGCAGTGCAGAAGTGACCCAGAGAGGTTCTATGCTGGAGAGAGAAGCTGGGAAGGAAAGCAGGCATGTAGATAACAAAGCCCTCTACCTCTCTGAGTGATGTGTGTGTGGGGAGGAAGGCTACAGGGCTGGAGTGCACTATGTTAGCAATTGAGAGGAAAACTAAGGGGGAAGAGCTGGGATGAGAGCAGGACGGATGACAGAAGGAAACAAGCAGATTTTACTCTGTCTTCCATCCATCTGAAAGATTTCCTACAATATTTCCTTTTAAAGAATGCTGAACTGATTTCTGAAACAGCAGAATTTTTTTTTCACATTGCTTCTCTTTTCACCAAAATCTCAATTTCTGAATTAGAACAGGTTAAAAGAAGCTTTTTGTGGTAAAATTTGCTCTTTCCCATTGAGTCACTCCATGCACATGGGAACCACAAACTTGACAATGCTCTTCTCTTTCTATACTGAAAGGGATTATACCAATTTCTTCACTGGGGACTAGAACGGCCCCTGTCCCCACAGCTCAGTTTTGCATTTAACAACTTCTATTGGCAAATGAGAGGGGGAAAAACACGGTACTAAAGTTTACAGGTTGGGATAGAAAGCAGAAACAATGCTGACTGCAACCTCACAGGAACTGGAAGGCCACCTTCATGATAGCTCTTTGACTCACAGACTTTTGGTGGATTCTCAAGAGAACCCTTTTAGTACAACGGTCCACTGTGGCGGCCCACTTCCGTTTGGCCTCCTCATCCTCATCCAGCAGGCATCTCCGCAGGTCCTGCTTGTCTGCCTTGCTCAGGGTCCTGTCAGTGACGGGACGCACCAGCTGCGATAGGTTGAGGTGACTGTACAGGCTTCTCTCCACCACGTAGGTGATATTGAACTCACTGACAGAGGTGCGCCCTCGAAGCCTTCTGTTTGGGAAACCACAACCTCCTCCCCCTTTGGCTTTGTGCCGGAGCAATTGTAGGTCACAAGTTGCAGGGGATGCTCCTTTCCTGGCAGGACGCTGGCAGAGAAAAGCTCTGGAACAGGAATAGTTAGTATCCATTTTCTTCAATCGGATCTGCTTCCTGACACTCTGAACCTCCTCCAGGGACACCAGGAGATGGTGCTTGTGCCTGTTGCTGTCATAAAAGCAAATACTTTCAGTACTTACCCCATGGCTCAGGGAGCCAAGGCCCTTCTTCATCTCCCCCTCTGTCAAAGAGCGGCAAACCTTCTGGGTCTTCTCCTCTTCTGGGTAAGAAAAAAATGTCCCCAGCTTCTTGGGGGGCTTAATAAGGCCACGGCTATCAGTTTTGCTGAAGGTCTTAACCAGCTTCCTATTAGCACCCCAAGTATCTAGGCTGCTGGATGAAGGAGAAGTGGTGAATGAGTCCGAGTCATCCTCAGGCTGCTTTTCAGAAGAGCCATCTAAGTAGACTTGCTTCTTGTGAACTCCAGAGTAAAGTGCCGATCTGTCATCCAGTACAGGAGAGCTGTCAAGTGAGTGCTCGTCCACACCTACAGGGGACAAAAGCAGCAAAACATACGTCATCTTTCACACTTCTTGTCTAATTTACTTATACACTAATGAGTCTTCCCCTGGAGGTTGTGCTCTGGCCAATCATTTCATTAAATTAAGACAACAACAACAAAATACAGATACTTTTTAAAACAGAGAAAATATTCCTGACTACTGTGATTCACAGTAGCCCATAACATTTTTGTTGGTGGACAGACTTGCAGCAAATTTTCCCACTTCCATAAGCAAAGCAAGAATTCTTGGGTAACTTAAATAAGAAGCAGCCTTAAAGAATATTTTAAAAGGACATTATCAAGACCTTTTCAGTATTTTAAACATCATTCTTTACTTCCAAGTGGTGTCAGTAATGAACCTTTAAAAAGTTGAAATCAAGATGCTTCTTCCCAGAAGATATTTTTTCGTCAATGAGCGCACACACTGTTTTATGATATTAATTAGAAATAATAATAGTAATAAAACTACTCTGCATGTATACAGTGTTTTTTCATTCACTGTATACAAACCTCACAGAGCTATAATGAAGGCGCAGATTGTATTTTCTTTCGTTTACAGATGAGATAGATGAAGAACAGAGAAGTTAAGTGGCTTGCCCAAGCAAGCCAGTGGCAGAGGTGAGACCAGAACCCAGGTGTCCTAATACATCACTTATATGCAGACTATGCTCCTCCTGTTGTTTTTTTTAATTGTCACTCTGGGTGCTGAGATGTTGGCAGTGGGCCAAATTCTGCTGTTCTTAATTGAGCAACATTCCCATTGAATTCTAAAAGAAGTTTGCTCGGTTGAGGACTGCAGATTTTGATGCATTGATATTTACATATTTATTTAAAGAAAATAAGGGCACAGAAGCACTGAGTGTGGAGGGAATCTTATCAGAAGTTGCATGTATTTTGCAAACACAGTAAAATCACAGTCGTCTTCCCCACTTCTTTCTTGCAAAGCACATTGCAGGAAAGTCTTGAAAGAAATGTGTACACTCACAGGGCCTTCCATACCATTCTGTTGGGTCCTAGAGCTCAGCTACCAGCAATGCAATGAGATCATTATGGGCAAGAAATGCATTCAAGTTACTCAAGAGCAAATAATACACCAAACATCCCCACTTGGTTTCAGATTTCCAATAGCCAGCACTGCTACAAGCCAACGGTATTTCTCTCTAAGGTATGGAGCTGAGCCCAAGGATCATACTGAAAGGCTAGAGCTTCCTGGGGGTGGCCCCAAGTTCTATTTAACATTATGTTTACTTAACGCATTTGTGACAGAAAGGGAGTGGGTCAAATTGTGGGTGTACCAACCTCAGCATCCCTTTAAAAAATATGCTTTCAGCAGCTCTCCATATTTTAGGTGGAAAAATGATTTTTCAAACTGAAATATTATTTTAAAATAACGACTAGAACAAAGATACAGGAATGGGACCTGGGCTGCTTTTGGGATTAGTGGAGGCAAATAATACACTTAAAACATAATTCCTTTTCACGTGTAAGGGTTTAGAGAACATTTTCTTCAGATTTTTCTACTGAGCATCTTTTAAGCCAGATGCTGAGTTAGGGACAAATGCCAAAAAATAGCACACATATGTGACAGTTCTGCCCAATATATTAGCTAGTGCATGTATATAGGTGATTCACACAGCTGTATGTGTTCCCAAGTGCTCACAGAACTGTCTTATACAGATTTAATTAATTTTTAGTGAGTTGTAAAACTCTTTTTTTAAAAGTAAACCGGAGTTTTATCCATCCCCATTATAACTCAAGGGGCTTTCACAGTGTTACAGCAGGGATGAATTTGGACCACTGATTTCAATTATGGGGTTGGTAAACTATCCTAATAATAGTGAATACATTCCAACATGCACACAACATTGCAGGTCTAGCCTCAGCCTATACGAGGCTGTAAATTCAGAGTTGAGGCTTCCTGTTTCATCTTCTGTACATTCTGTTGGCAAGAGACATCTGCTGCACATATATTAGTTGAAACCTCAGCCTCTCTTCTGTGAAGGTACAGCCAAATAAATTAAGGAATGGTTATGTGCCAGATTTGACACCCTTTAACTCTGCATTTTCTGGATCTAATTAAGAGTCTTAACATCACTTGCACTGAACTGTTCAGTGGTTCAATTACTTTTTTTTCTTTTCCCAGTGTAACAGAATAATAGTTCTCATGGGAGTGAATAAGTGTTGACAAATTACACTGGCTTATTGAGTAAATATGTATTTAAACAACTTGCAAAATATGCATTATGTGTCACAGGCCACAACAGATGTTGTACGGAGTCAGTCCATAATATAGAGTAGCGGTGACCAAACTTATGGACACGCTGAGCAACATATGACAATCTTCAGAAGTTCGAGAGCTGGGGTTCACCTGCTGGGGGTTGGGGCTTCAGTCCCTCAGGAGGCACCTGCTGGGGCTTGGGGTTTCAGACCTGCTCCTGCTGAAGCCCCAAGCCCTGGCAGGCATGCCACGCGGGGCTGAAGCCCTGAGACCACCCTCCCTGCTGGGCAAAAGCGCCTACCCCACCACCCCTGCTGTAAGGCAGAGGACCCGAGCTCCCTCCCACTTCAGTCTGGTAGGTGGAGAATGGGGAAGGAAGGGGGGTTGTGGGAAGCTCTGCGAGCCCCACTTTAACTATAAAAGAGCTGCATGTAGCTCACAAGCCATGGTTTGGCCATGCCTGGTATAATGACACTAACATATATGATTTTTTAAAATGCTATGGAGAAAAAGATAGAGAATTAGCAAGCATCAGTGACTCAGCGACTAAAAAATTAAGATAAAATACCGATAGATTCAGTCAGCATCAAATTCTATTGCCCAGTCAAATCTACATTTAACAGGATGAAGGAGTCTGTGTGAAAAGCATGGGAAGCTGCATCTGGAAATGCAGTGAACACCGCTCTTTTCTTCAGAAACAACAGAAACAGGTGGGAAATTTTGGCAAAATTACCTGTGGGGAGCTCCCTGACGTGGGCATAGGGAATTTCTATGGGAAATTTTACTTAAGAACGTAAGATTGGCCATACTGGGTCAGACCAGTGGTCCAACTAGCCCAGTATCCTGTCTTCTGACAGCAGCCAGTGCCAAATGCTTCAGAGGGAATGAACAGAACAGGGTAATTTTGAGTGATCCATCCCGTCCATCCAGTCACACAGCTTCTGGCAGTTGGAGGTTTAGCAGTTGCGTTCTTGACCATCTTGTTTAACAGACATTGATGGACCTATCCTCCATGAAGATATCGATTTTTTTTTGGGCCCAGTTATGCTTTTGGCCTTTGCAATATCCCATGGCAATGAGTTCCAAAGGTTGATTTTGCATTATGTGAAGAAGTACTTCCTTTTGTTTGTTTTAAACCATCTGTCTATTCATTTTGTTAGGTGACCCCTAGCTCTTGTGTTACGTGCAGGAGTAAGTAACACTTCCTTATTCACTTTCTCCACATCAGTTAAGATTTTATAGACCTCTATCATATCTCCCCTTTAGTCATCTCTTTTCTAAAATCTGAACAATCCTAGTCTTCTTAAATCTCTTCGTATGAAAACTGTTCCATACCCCTAATCCTTTTTGTTGCCTCTCTCTGCACCTTTTCCAGTTCAAATATATCTTTTCTGCGATGGGGCAAACACAACTACATGCAGTATTCAAAGTGTGGGTGTGCCATGGATTTATATAGTGGCATGATATTTTTTGTTTTATTATCTATCCCTTTCCTAAAGGTTCCTAACGTTCTATTAGCTTTTTTTATTGCTTCCGCACATTGATTGGATGTTTTCAGAGAACTATCCACAATGACACCAAGATCTCTTTCTTGAGTGGTAACAGCTAATTTAGACCCCACCATTTTGTATGTACAGCTGAGATTATTTTTTCCAGTGTGCATTACTTTACACTTATCGACACTGAATTTAATCTGCCATTTTGTCACCCAGTTTAGTGAGACTCCTTTGAAACTCTTCACAGTCAGCTTTGGATTTATAAATAATTCTGTATAGTCTGTAAATTTAGCCACCTCACTGTTCACCCCCTTTTCCAGATCACTTATTAATATGTTGAGCAGTACAGGTTCCCAGTACAGATCCTATGGTAACTGAGTCTACTCATACACTTTAATGAGTAGTGGCACATGAGCCAGCAAACAGAGCTGTAAACAGGGGCATTTGAGCGGGAGTTCTGTTGGAGGAGAAAGCAGGAGGCAAGACCCTGTTCCTTAGTGGCAGTCAGTGACATTGTTGTGGGTGATGTGTGTTTTTTCTGATTTCTGTTCAGTTTGCAGAGGCTGTTAGGGGGCAGTATGATCTGAGAGGAGCAAAGTCCTGATTAGGGAATGGGGCTTCTCTGATTAGGGGGCCTATAAAGACAATCAAGCAACCAGCTAGTGGCACAGGAGACCGCAAACTGAGCTGTAAACAGGGGTGTATGAGTGGGAGTTTGTGGGAGCGGTGTGTCTGGTGTTCTGGTATTGTTTGGGTTTTTGTATTTGTATGTTTGTTTGTTTGTTTGTTGTTTTTCTTTTTCCTTGACAGGACTTGAGGTGGGAAGTCTATGCCAGACAGAGGCAGAAGTGGGAGTGAACCAAGCAATGAAAGAGACAATGAAGATGACCAGATTCAGAAGTTGCAGGATTTACGTGATCCTAGAGTGGGTACCTGAAAAGAGTTTCGTTTGTATGAAGTGCTGCTTGATAGAGTAGTTGGAAGAGAAGATCCGAGGGTTGGAGATGAAGGTGGAAAATACAGTTGATTTCAAAGGGGATTCGAGCAGATGAGGGAGGGAAGGTAAGAGGAGGCTGAAGGGAAAAGTCAAGACTCAGATGTGAACTGGCCTGAAGAACTCTGAGGGGAGACTGCTGGGTGAGGAAAGTGGCCAATGGAAGCATGAGACTACAAGAACTAGGCAAAGGAAAAATAATGGGCTAGTGAGGGATAAACAGAGCCCAGGAACAGGTTTGCTGAGTTGGACAATGTTAAAGGCAAACAGCAGGCCG